GCCATGGCTCGGTATTCGGCTTCAGTGGAGGATCTAGAAACAGTAGGCTGCTTCTTGGATCTCCAACTAATAATCGAATCACCTAAAAACACACAATATCCAGTAACAGAGCGCCTAGAGTCCGGACATCCAGCCCAATCACTATCTGAAAAACCAGTCAGTTTGATAGAAGAGTTGCTAGGAAAGAAAAGACCTTGTCCTGGGTTATTCTTAAGATATCTAAGAACTCGGTGGGCTGCATTAAGATGTACATCAGTAGGAGCACTCATGAATTGAGTAAGATGATGCACAGCATACACTATATCAGGACGTGTATGACACAGGTATAGCAAACGTCCTACTAGTCTACGATTAAGTTCTGGGTCAGAAAGTGGATTACCATCAGTCGTTGAGAGTTGGCTGCCAGCTACAAGAGGTGTGGCAGCAGGCTTAGCACCAAGTAAACCTGCATCTTTTAGTAAGTCCAGTGCATATTTTCGCTGACAAATGGAAAACCCAGCAGTATTTCGAGCAATCTCTAGCCCTAGAAAGTATTTAAGTGGTCCTAAGTCTTTAATTTTGAATGCGTCATCCAGCTGTGTTTTAAGCAAGGTAATAGCATCTAAATCATCACCAGCGAGAATTACATCATCCACATAGACTAGGACAGCAAGAAATTTACCCATATTTGACTTAGTGAACAAAGAATAATCAGCCTTAGACTGTGTATATCCAACACAAACAAGAAACTGAGTAATTTTATGATTCCACTGTCGACTGGCCTGTTTAAGACCATATAATGACTTATTAAGTTTGCATACTAGATTTTTCGAAGGTAAATGTAAACCTGGAGGAGTTTTCATGTATACTTCCTCAACCAAATCACCGTGTAAAAATGCATTATTAACATCAAGTTGCTGTACATGCCAGTTTTTAATGGAAGCAAGAGCAAGTAAAGCACGAACAGTAGTAAGTTTTGCTACGGGAGAAAATGTTTCTAAATAATCTATGCCTGGAGTTTGAGTATAGCCTTTAGCAACTAACCTAGCTTTATATCTCTCTATACTACCATCAGGTTTAAACTTAATACGAAACACCCACTTATTACCAATAGCATGCTTACCTGGAGGCAGTGGAGTTAGATTCCAAGTATTGGTGTTTGCCAATGCCTGGAGCTCTAAATCTATAGCCTCAACCCACCTAGGGTCCTTAGCAGCCTCAGTATATGTAGCTGGTTCTGTTTCATTGGTTACAGCCATAATGAATCTTCTATAGATGGGTGACAACCTGTCATAAGATAAAACACTAGACAAAGGATATTTAGTAGTATTAGTAGGCAGTATATAATCACTAAGTTTCTTTGGGGGAACCCGAACTCTATCTGAACGCCTAACTGGTAAGGTGCTGCTAGGTTGTTATTGAGGTAAGGAAGCTGTTTGAGAGGGAATAGGAATGTCGGCCGGATTGCAAGCAAATGGAGTGATAGAAGGGGAAAGAGAGGATGAAGGCAGAGATGTATTGTTTAAGGAAGAGGGAATGGACTGAGAAACAGGACAGTCAAGTGGCTGAATGTCTATAATGGGAAGAGCTTGATCAAGACTAGAAAGAGACAGATCACTAGTAGAAAATGGAAATATATGTTCATGGAATGAGACATCTCTAGACTCTAAAAATTTACGAGAGACGAGACTATAAAGCTTGTAACCTTTAGTAGCAAAAGGAAATCCTAGGAAGACACAAGGTTCTGCCCGTGGGGAAAATTTAGGACGATTGTGAGCTAAAGTAGATGCATAACATAGACTACCAAAGACACGTAACAAACTATAATCTGGTTGTTTGTGAAACAATAGTTCAAATGGAGATTTATTGTTTAGGACTGGAGTAGGTAACCGGTTAATAAGATGGACAGCATGCAACACAGCATGTCCCCAAAATTTAACCGGGAGAGAAGCGTGCATTAGAAGAGCCCTAGCAACAGCAATAATGTGCTGTTGTTTGCGCTCTACACGGCCATTTTGCTGTGAAGTAGCATTACAGGTAGTTTGGTGAATGATACGTAAGGAATTATAAAAGGATGGCATATGAAATTCAGATCCATTATCTGTCCTAATAGCTTTAATTTGTTTGGAAAACTGAGTTTGGACATAAGCACAAAAGTTTTGGACAAGAGACCTAGCTTCTGATTTGGCATGCATCAAATAACACCAAGTATTACGAGAATGATCATCAAGTACAGTAAGAAAGTAACGATGACCATCTGTGGTTGGAACACCATATGGTCCCCATATGTCGATATGAATCAAATCAAACATACAAGCAGCATAAGAAGTGCTAGACTGGAAGGGTAAACGACGCTGCTTAGCAATAGGACAAACAGAACAATGCAGATTTTGACACTTAGTACTACTATAAGACAGACCAGGAACAAAACTATGGCCAAGACGATAATGCCATTTATCAAAATGTCTTATAGTAGTGTCAAATGCAGCAGACAAAGCAATAGGAAGGGATAAAGAGGAAGAATCTCGTCCAGATTCGACTTCGAGGTAGTACAGCCCGGCAATCTGCTTAGCTATACCAATCCTCTGTCGGGACGGGATATCCTGAATCAAGCAGTAAGAGTGGGAAAAAATCAATTCACACTCATTTTGCTTAGCTAACTGACTAGCTGACAGCAAATTGAAGGTGAATGACGGAATCATGAGGACATTATGCACAATTAATGTATTAGACAGCCTCACAGACCCTTTGTGTCTGACAGCTATACGAGAACCATTAGGCAAAGTCACAAACATACCACTCAAGGGTGTGAAATCAACAAACAAGTCTAACGAACAAGCCACATGATCAGTAGCACCACTATCGATTATCCATGTATTAGTAGATGCACCTAACTGTTCTGGAGGAATAGAGGCAAGAGCATACTTACCTGACGCAGCATAAGCTGCTAGCTGGTTAGGCTGAGTCCACAGAGAAGTAGAGACAGCAGCAGTACGCGAGGAACTCGGCTGAACAGAGCTGGAACTCGGCTGATCAGACATGAGGCAAGAGACAGAGCTCGGTGCTGATGCAGACCCAGCTTGAGCAAGCAGTGTTTGATACTGCTCTGATGTAAGAACGACTGATTCGCCAGAAGAAACACCAGCAGACAGTGACGGAGCCTGCTCATCAGCAATCGCGGCGTTGACCTTTCCTTTGCCCTTGTAGCTCGGCGGATAACCGTGCTTCTTGAAGCAACGATCCACCGTGTGTCCGATGCCACCACAGTGAGTACAGACAGGCCGCTGTTTCTGTCCAGCACCACGACCGTGACCCTGACTCGTACCAGAGGAACGCCCAGCCATAGCCATCGGAGTGGCCGCCAAAGGAGCACCAGAGGGATTCAGTTGTCGCTCATGGTGAATCACCATGGAAAAGACGCGAGTTATTGGAGGAAGCGGCTCCATGAGTAAGATCTGGCTTCGGATATGAGAGAAAGTGTCATTGAGACCTTTCAGAAAGCGGATGATCTGATCGGACTGCTGATGAAGACGAACGACGTTGAGAGCACCACAGGAGCACCTCGGAGTACAGGAGCAAGCAGGAAACGGCCTGATAGTCACCAACTCGTCCCAAAGAACGCGAAATCGAGTGAAATACTCGCTGACTGTGGCCGCACCTTGCTTGAAAGCAAAAACCTCATCCTGGAGATCTGAGATCCGAATCAGACTTGCTTCGCTGAACCGATCTTGGAGGTCTCTCCACACCTCGACTGCCGAATCGAACCAGAGAACACTGTGTGCGATGTCTGGAGCCAAGGAGCGGTAGATCCAGCCAAGAACCATCACGTTGCACCTCTCCCAAGCACCGTGAAGAGGATCGCCAGGAAACGGTGGCGCGACGGCGGGATCGATCAGAGAGAGCTTGTTCTTTGCCAGTAACGCGAGACGCATCGATCTCGCCCATGCATAGTAGTTGTTGCCGTTGAAGACGACGGTGACGAGAGCCGACGCCGGATTATCTCCAGGATTGAGAAAGTAGGGGTGACTAGGATCGAGCAATCCGGCGGGAGGAACGAACGAGAAATTCGCCTGAGTCGCCTGAGTTGATTGCCGACGAAGTCGCCATTGGAGGAGAACGAACGAGAGTCGAAGAGAGCGAAAGTTTTGAGAGAAAACCCTAGAACGAAATTGGGAAAGTGAGAGAATCAAGATTTTGACTCCTCTGATACCATGTTGAATCTTGTAAAAAGAAATGGTCTACTTTTCTTATTAATCAGAAAGGTAAAGTTACATTGTCCTTATTACATATTTATATATATCTGTATATTAGTAAATAACAAAATAATACAACAAGAAACAAATATTACAATTTAGTTCCTATACTACTGTTTTATTACAATGGAGTCCTCCAACACATAATACCATGCAGTTTGACTCGTCCCTTATTTAGATAACTTGTATTTGTTTGTCGATTCATTAATCAACATAAAAAAACTCCATGATCGACCAATTTGGTCCCATGCCCAAAAGTCCTTCATAATCATTTAATTGGAGTGCCCCTCAGTTCAAACGGCTCTTTTTTAACCATCAACTCATCCAACAGTGCAACTTGACCAAACCCTTTTTGTTAAATCGAGAGATACACCACAAGCCACAAACTAGTTTCCTACTGCTACAGAACAGTTCACTAAATGCCTGCAGAGAAAGTGGAAACCCTGATTCACTCACGACTCGCGAGACCGAGACAGTATACTATAAACATGGTCTGTGGTCATGTTCCAGTCTCATTTTGACTCAACCAAAGAATCGAGGATTGGATATGACGGATATGGCGACTGGAAAACTTTTGAATTTTTTGTAGCTAAGATTGAAACTTAAATCAGGCTTAATTGCAAGTTTGGTCACTCGAATTAGGTTAACAGTCCAAGTTTGGTCACTGGCCGTTAGTCTCCGTTAACTTTTGCTGATGTGGCGGTCAACTTTTATAGTTGACCGTTAAATGAATGACGTGGCAATTAAAAAAATAAAAAATAATAAAATTTAATTTTTAATAATTTCCAGCTCATTATTACAATAAATTAAAAAAAAATCATACATCAACTGCTTGGGATTAGACGCACTGCTCTCCACAACCTCGTTATTAGCCGCACTGCTCTCCAACGGCGTCAAATTCCCGGAAAGCTCCTGGCTCGTGAACAAATCGGGCCCGAATTCGGGTTCCCCTTTGACCCGGGACAACCCGAAGTCCGAAATCTTGGCCCGGAGGTCGAAATCGAGGAGGACATTGCTGGGCTTGACGTCGCCGTGAATCACGGGAGGGTCGCACCCCGTGTGGAGGAATTCGAGCGCTCTCGCCACGTCGGCAATCACGCTGAACCGCCTCTCCCAGGTCAGAACCTCCATCCCCAAATTGCCCTCGCCGAACAGCCACTCCTGCAGGCTCTTGTTGGGCATGTACTCGTAGACCAGCAATCGGTGCTTTTTTTCGACGCAGTAGCCCAATAGTGTGACCAAAAAGGGGGATTTGAGGCCGCCGAGGATGTGGAGCTCGTTTTGGAACTCGCGCTCGGAGTTGAGGGTGAGGGCGGCGGAGTCGAGGCGCTTGACTGCGTAGAGCTTGCCGTCCCGGGCGATGGCGCGGAAGACGGTGGCGGAGCCGCCGCGGCCGATGACGGAGAAGTCGTGGAAGTCGTTGGTGGCGAGCTTGAGGTCGGAGTAGGTGAAGCGCTTGAGCTTGGCGGCGGCGAGAGGGGAGTCGTCGAAGGGGATGGTGCGGGCGCGGCGGCGGGAGCGGAAGTAGTGGTAGTGGTGGAGGAAGGAGCGGGAGAGGTGGTAGAGCTGGAAATTATTGTAATAATGAGCTGGAAATTATTAAAAATTAAATTTTTATTTTTTATTTTTTTAATTGCCACGTCACTCATTTAACGGTCAACTATAAAAGTTGACCGCCACATCAGCAAAAGTTAACGGAGACTAACGGCCAGTGACCAAACTTGGACTGTTAACCTAATTTAAGTGACTATAAATGGAATAAATTAATTTGAGTGACAAACGTGAAATTTTGTAGCAATTCGAGTGACCAAACTTGCAATTAAGCCCTTAAATCACGAGCAGAGCTCGTCGACATGTCTACACTAGTTTTCTCAACAGAGAGCAAAGAATGGGTTCTTTGAGAGAGTTATTCTATCGAAGTTGCAATCTGTCTCCTTTTCAGACGAATGTATGGTGACTTCAATCGTATCAAGTGAAATTTAGGTGCTAATGAGTGAATCGTGACATTATAATCTTATCCTTGATGAGTGAATTATAGGTTTTAATTATCTAAATAACAAACCCTAAACACTAAGATATGATGTATACAATTTATTATATTTCGACGAATCATTACCGCCAATTTTTGTTCCTAATTAAATTGATGTTAGAGCATGAGATTTATATACTTAAGACCTTGATTCTAATTTTTAAAGATTAAGATATATAGTATCATATTCCAAACATTAGACAATTCAAGGTCTAAGTATCATTTTCTTACATAGCAGGCTATGCTTTTAATTTTACTTCTCGTGTTTTTATAAGCTAAACTCTTCATATATCAGTTTGAAGATAGATATCATTCGTCGATTCTCGTAGGCTCACCGGTGGCGCAGTCCATCCTTGCGTACCATTCTCTGGTGTTCCGTAACTTCACCAGATTGTAGTTATCTGGTCGACCTCAGGACACCGAAAATTAAACCGCGAGAAAATTGGGCATTATTAAGATACCACATCGCACAATTTGGGTGCCCAATGTGTGATTATGTATCTGTCCGGTTCAAGAATCGTTGCCGAGCTCGGTAATGCGGGCTTGTAATTTGAATGAAGGCATTAAAGTTGTGGGATGGTTGCCTTTCCCGGATAGCCGTGGCAGTGAGATTCTAAACTGGCTTCATAGAGCAGGGTTCACCTTCTTGAAGGATTATTATATGGAAAGATAATAGGAAGGTGTTCTTACCTCACTTGCGGGCCTTCAGTGTGCCTGTAGGCTTGATGGGCTTTCCAAATTGGACCATAACTTTTGTCACATGCCCTACCAAGTTATTTATTATATGAGTTGACTTTTCCTTTTGGTAATCTTTGCTACATATTTGCTTTCATTTTGGTTGTTTGTGGTGTTGGTACAAAGCAACACCCTCTAGCTAAAAGGTCATGCAGACCCTCTAGCTAATTATCATATCAGGAAATATATGAATGAAAGTGAGTTCAAGTAATGTGAGCTAGAATTAGGTCATTGAGGATTATCCGGTATAACAGTGTAGATAAAAAAGAATTTATCATGCTCATTGGTCAACCTGTCTGACAGATAGCGAATCTCGAAAAGTCATTTTTACTGGACAACACCAAACTTTCATATGCAATAAATTCGTGAATAACGGTGTATTATCATATTCGTAAATAGTATAGGCAATTTGAATGTCATGTGCAACTAGTTAAATTTATGTGTCGTTTGAATTTAAGTATTTGTTAAACTTGTTATTTGGAGGATGTTAACGCACAAAACAGTAAAGAATAGTTTTACATTTAAAAAAAAATTAAGCTCCTCTCCTAATTTTTCTCAAGTAACATGTTTGGAGTATGTAGAGAATAAAATGTGTCAAATTTTGAACTAAAGGAATTACTATCAATCCAGTTCATTAAGCATGGTAGGCTAATCACGAGCGGCACTCTGGAGATGAAGCATGTAGAGAAGCACCAAAAATACCTCGTTCTTATCACTGAAGTGGGTCGAGCCAAGAAGGATCTATTCGCGGGCCTTAAGGAGCGAGTGCGGTCGAAGCTGAAAGGGTGGAAGGAAAGGACAATGTCCATAGCTGCACGTGAAATTCTCATCAAATCGGTGGCTCAAGCTCAGCTTACATACGCGATGTCGGTGTTCAAGATTCCGGATGGGCTCATCGATGAGGTGCACAGTTTGATCACCAACTTCTGGTGGGGTCAAAAGAACAAAGAGAAAAGAGCTCATTGGATCCGGCGTGAAGAATTGGTGACGCTGAAAGAGGATGGTGGGATGGGGTTTAGAGACCTTCGGGGTTTTAACATGGTGCTCCTGGCGAAGCAACTTTGGGCTCTTCACTCTCGTCCAGAGTCGCTCATATCTTGGATTATGAAGGCGAAGTACCTCAGTAATTGCTCCATTCTTGATGCTCGACTAGGAAGCAAGCCAAGCTACATTTGGAGGAGCTTGTTAAGTGCACAAGAATTTTTGTGTAATGGACTTCGGTGGAGGATTGGTAATGGAGCCCAAGTAAAAATTTGGGGAGATCAGTGGCTCCTGGACGAGCCTCCTTTTGTCGAGTCAGCGCCGACCGCCCTCCCAGTCGATGCTACAGTGCGCGACCTTATAGAGCCGGAGACAGAAACTTGGGATGTAGAGTTGGTTAACCAGTGTTTCCCTCCTCCAATTGCTCAGACTATTTTGTCACTCCCCCTGCGAGGGCCAGAGGAACGTGACCGCCTCATCTGGAGGTTTAGTGAGAATGGGCAGTACACGGTGAAGAGTGGATACAGGAGGTGGCTGGCAGATTTTATGGTGGCGGAAGGCAGATTTCTTAATCAATATATCTTACAGGTTACCCAAAAAAAAAAAACTCAGTGTGAACATATTACTATAGGCCATAAGGTGTCGTTGAATGAGAGGATTTGTGTTTGAGATTTTTATATTTGAAATTTCAAACAAAGGATCGTTTGTTTGGATATTAAATGAATATTGCATTCAGATTTTGCTCAAATACATGAAACACTGGACAGTTCACTAAATGTACTGGAGATAGGGCAGAAAACTGGAAACCCTTTATTCACTCACGAGACCAGAAGAGTATAGCATAAACACGGGCATATGGCTATTCAAATCACATGTGGGATCAGCAAAAGAAAGAAGAAAGATATGGTAATTGTAAAAATCTCAACAAAACCAGAAAGGAAGTTCAGTAGCAAGAATGAAGCTTAAATCACAAGCAGAGCTTGTCGACATCTACAGTCGTTTTCTTAACAGAGAGCGAAATGAGTTCTGAGGAAGTTATTCTATCGAAGGCTTGATCTCTTTTTTCCTGAACCATATAAGTTAGTGTTTGTATAAACTGAGCTCTTCACCTCAATTTGATGATATCATGCATTGATTCTCATAGGCTCACCAACGGCCCCCTCCATCCTTGTGTACCATTCCCCAATGCGAGTATGCTCGACCATATCTTTGCCGGACTTCAGGTATCTAATCGGCCTCAGGACACCAAAAACGGCGAGATCAGCCAGATTAGGACGTGAGCCACCTGTTGAGTGAAGGGAAGTAAAAAAAAATACTTCAGGTGGAGGGCGTCATAGAAAGTGAATTGTTAAAGCTTAAACCATAAAACACAGACCGAGATAGTCACGGCCCTTGAGAGCGTCCACCCATGTTTCGGCAGCTTCATACAAGGATGCACGTTCATCAGTGATATTATACTTCTTCTTCAGCTTCTTTGACACGAAGTACATTGCGGTTGCACCAGCATATTTTGCTACAAGCCTCTCTGTGAAACTGAAATTTCCTAGAGTATGAAAGCATGGAGATTAAGAAGCTCATTTACAATATATATTTTCCTTGTCTAATTCTACTAAAGATAATTGATATGATAGTTGATACTAAACAAATTCGAAAGGGAAAGGGGTTTTACCGTGACTGGTAATGTAGTCAAATGACTCTAGAGCCTCAGAAGCATTTCTGTAAATATTTGGTGACAGAACATGCACCAAGTGACCATCCACCCATCTGAAGAAAAACATTCAGCATGATCATTAGCAGATAAGAAAAGCTAGAAAGGACTAGGAGAAGGATGGAAGAATGCTGAGAATTTTTCGTAACCAATATGGCAACACCACAGACGAGTCTACAAAAGCTTTCAATTTCATATTCAACATTAACGATAAACAATCAAATATGAACTAAGATCCCTGAAAAAGACTTAACAACTGATACAATCAATTATGGTATGTGATTCATTCAAGTTGAACAAAGATAGAAGTACGATCGTACTTTCGCCACTTTGCTTCTTCCTCAGCATCTGCACAGGTCCCCTCTGGATGAGTTCTCTTAAACAAATCAGTAATTATCTCTGCATAAGCAAGCAAGATATAAGCTATAACATTAAGATCGGCACTAATTTAGCTAATATATAGAAGTGAACAGGGAACAACCTGAAGAGTCAACCATTTGTTCCCCATCAATAGTAAGTATCGGCACCTTCTTGTACTCAGACCACTTGATCTCCTTTTTGCTCATCGGGTTAACTTCCACCACCTTGTATGGAATGCTGTAGTAGTCCAAGAATGCTGAATAGAAACGCACGCAGTGGGGAAAGGGTAAATATTTACAATTGGAGACCTTACGATTTCATATCAGAATGCATAATCCAATTAGCATTTCATCTTAATCCTACTCAGGATAACCAATCACTTCGTATCAAATGCCTAAGTTCTGCAGAAACCCAACGGAAACCATCCATTACCAGAGCACCTCCTTCACTAATCATAGTTAAGGATTCAATTCAACAATTGAACAATGAAACTCTTAAGTCTAGATCCCAACTTGAGAAACCCACTTGACAGCAAAAAGCTTCAACCAGTAAGTATCATTATCGATTACCTTTAACCTTGTTGCAGAAAGGGCAAGCCTCATACTGATACAGAACAACGTCCTTGGGTGAAAACTTGGGCAACTCCTTGGCGTGAACCTCCTGCGCCACAGATGAAGCCGCAACGGAGAAGAACATCGTCCCGACTACTCCAGCGGCGACAGAAGTCCCCGAGAGACCAAAATAATCAGCCATTCTCCGAGAGAGGAACTGCGGACCTGATCCAGAGGAAGTAGTGCTGAGCATCGCGGATCGAACCAGAAGGTTCGGCATGGCGGCGGCGACAGTGGCCAAGGATGTGCTTGATCCGGCGGCAATGCTGCGGCCATAGGTGGCGAGCCCGTGAACTCTCCTCATCGCGAATTGAACGAATTAAACCTGCTACTAATGCTCTTCCGATCTCCGATTTCCCTCTAGGAGTTTCTTTGTGGCGGAAACCAGAGTTTTCTAGGGTTTAACCAACAAGGGTTTTAGGGATGAGTTGAGATTCAGATTTCCAATTCAGACACGATGCGTCGATGAGCTCCTCAGATTTCTTCTGACAAAAGTCGGAGATAATTGGGCGCGAACTTGGTCTGTATTGGGCTTATTTTATCCCAGTCCAGTGGACCTATCTCTGTTGAAAGATTGGGCATTGTTTTCATTAACATTCTTCAAAAATCACTTGCATTAACAAGAAACAATAAGTTTTTGTAAAAAAAAAAAAAACAAGAAATAATAAGTTACACAATGCCGACCTCAGCAGAGAGTCAAGCATCGAAATCGAATCCATTACACCCTACAATGAACAAAGAGAGGGTCCTTTTAGCCACACGATGGGCTACTTTATTGTCCTCTCTGCCAACAAATTGAAGCTCCACAACCAGACACAGATTTACCAGTCGTCGAATATCCTCATATACGGCCCCACCACGACAATCCCTGATGCGTCCCGCCACCACCTTGTCTATGACGACCTTGGCATCGCCCACCACTAGCACCCGCTGAAACTGAGAGTCCGCACACATCTGGATAGCCTTCCATAAAGCCAATAACTCAGCGATCACCAGATAAACAATCCCATCGAACACCATCACATGGCACGAATCACAGCCCGTGAACTATCCATAAACACCACCCCGCCAGCTGAGTGTGATCCCTCACAAGTTGCACCATCAAAGAAACACAAAACCCGATCCAGACTCCCCCATAGAAATACTCAACCCCATGCTACTACTCCAACCTTGCCTAGAAGTCTCCGCCACTCCAACCCCCACAAGCCATTCCTGTAAGGAAGTGGTTAAGTATCATACATGGGCCTGTATAAGATCCAACATAACATTCTTCCAACAACTCGAGTTATTGGGACCAACTGGTTTATGACATGGTATCAGAGTTGGTTTGTCCTTGAGGTCACGTGTTCAAGTCCTCACGACCCCCAATATTAATCGTTGTCTTTCAAGCACATGGTATGGCGGCCCTGTGCAAACTTCAAGCCCAAGAGTCGGCTTTCGTTTGAGGAGGCGTGTAAGGAAGTGGTTAAGTACCATTTATGGGTCTGTATAAGATCCAGCATAACCTTCTTCCAACAACTCGAGTTATTGGGACCAACTGGTTTATGACAATTCCGCTACCTGCATCTTCAATTGTCTCATCAGAACTTTCCCCGTCACTTGGACACCCTCAAACACCACCAAATTCTTGACTTTCCAAATTCGCTAAAGGAGACAAACCAGGTTCACTACCCGCTCTGTCGACCCATCTTTGGCCACAACCCTGCTTCTTCCCAAAGCTATTGGGCCACAGGACACTCGAAGAACAGATGTTCAATCGATTCCTCCTCAGCCTAGCACACCGAACACCGAGCCATAATAGGAACCTCCCTCGTAAGCAGCGCCTCCATCGTAGGCAATTCTTTTTTGGATAGTTTGATTTTGATAATAGTTATATTGATACATTATCATCTATACATCCATAATAATGTACATGTATATAAAAAAAATGGTGTATTGTAGTTTATTTTTGGTTTTGTAATAGTTATTGTAATATTTATATATAAGTTATTTATATTACTTTTTGAGTGAAATATCACTTTTACCCTTTGTTTTAATACAAAAAGCAACACATATAAATAGTTAGACGCATAGTTGGAAGATAAAAACTCAACAATCTCATCCAAAACTTGAGGTTTAGGGCATGTTTGGAAGTTAGGATTCTTGAAGTTGATGTATTTAATCAATGTATATATTATGATTAGATGCATCGTTTCTATGTATGAATTTGAAAAATGCATTGTTTGGAGATTGAATGATTTTGGTGGTCCCTCAAAGAATAAGAAATAAAAAGTAAGCTAACAATCCCTCAAACACAATATCTGCTAAAAGTTGAGATTGACAATCATTCATAATGAATGATTCTAGTGGTCCCATCTGTTATTCAAATACAACCATTCTGTTTCATTTTAAGACCAAAAAAAAAACGATGAATTCTTCTCATTACATGTATTGACTAAACAATGCTTGTATTGTTTGTGCGGAAAATTAAAAAAAACCAATGCATTGTAACTATCTCAACTAAACTATGATAAAAAACCAAACCATCCTCAATTGTCGCAGCGGATACCAACTGGCGCACTAGCCATTAATATTCAAAGAAATTCCCCAGAATTAGACATGAATAAACCAGACTTCTCCACATTTGGAGCTTACATACATTGAGATGCTAGTACTGGAAGTTTGGTATCGATATTTGGGATATACCGAATATCGTACCGAATTTGTCTATATATTTGGTACTACCGAATACAAGTGTTATTTATTGGGATTGAATTTCAATTGTTATTCGGTATTAGGGTTTACAAGATTGGGATCGGTATATACCGATCAATACCGAAATATAAGCTAGTGTGTATTTTATCATCTCAACTAGACTCTCTATCAACTACTACACGACCCTCAACCACCAAGAGTATCATTTAATTATACATATATCATTCCATCACTATTTCAGAACTTAGAAGTCCCCATCCAACTCAAATTTGACTGTTCAATTTAAGTCACTCTCGTTACTCACCTAATATCTCTTGTTATTTCCATAACTTTAAAATGCAAACACTAGTATTAGTCATCTCTCAACCTCCACTTCGTCAAATTAAAGATTACCAATTACACGAACTTGAGATGTCAGATCTCCTCCATTCTCATTATCTGTATCCTACCTCTAGGCAAACTCAAGACTCTTTGCCCTAAATTAAACAATAAAATCAAATTTATATATTTAATTGTAAAGATAATTAATTTCGTATTCGGTAATACCGATTGGGATACCAAAGTACCGATTGGATACCAGAATATTTAGGGATTGAGATTGGGATATTGAAATTATTTAGCAATTGGGATGGAGACTGAGTTTATGGTGTAATTCGTATTCAAGATTTCAGTATTTGGTATTGGGATAGCGATACCGTACCGATTTCCACCACTAGAGATGACCTGCACTTTGAGCTTGGTAGTGAGTACATGATAATTTACTCGTTCACTTGTCATTTTGTTTTCTATAGCTTTCTCAACAGAAAACATATTAAAATGAAAACGAAGTTATCGTTTCAAGAGAAACAAAACATGAATATTTTTGGGTTAATAGCATAAATTGCTCCTCTACTATTTTTTACATCAAACTTGCCCCTCTATTATAATTACATACAAAAATCTGCCCTTCTGTTACTTTTTTCGTTTGACCTCCGTGAACCAGGTTAGACCAAGCCTGAGTCTAGGTAAAATTACCTGTTTAGGCCTACTAATTACACTTTACCTTCCTCAACCAAAAATAGAGAAGTTCCGGTGGAGGTAGGTGAAGCCAATTTCGACGGTGGAGTTAGATCAATGGCGGCCCCTGATGCACACGCACCACCATTATGACAGAATCAATCGAAACCATGCCTGAAAATGCAAATGAAAAAAAATTCCTCAACAAACAGATCAACGAACACAGGATCAGATCAGTCGGCGGGTTCTTCCTAACATCGACGCCCACGAGGCCTGGGACGACGATCCGCTTGTCAACTGAAGTGACGGGACGATGATAGCGCCGGGACTAGATAATGAGATATGGGTTTCCAACTAAGAGTTATGGCTGTAGAGGATTGAATGAGTGATTTGTATTGACTAGAATTGGGAATTAAATACCCAAGATACAACCACACGTAGCTATGAATTAGGAGCCACTAAACAACTATAACAACCCACTAAATACAGTAATTAAATAATTAATTGTTATGCTTATCACGCCCCCGCAAGATGGAGACGGGGACGAGGGGTGGGCATTGGGTGGGTCGGGTGGATTTTGACCATAAAATGCACCCACCCGCGCTTAAACGGATTGATAATTTTTAACCCACCACCCACCCACATTTAGTCTCGGGTTGGGTCGGGCGGATGGTGGATGATGCGGGTGGGTTTGTGGGTTCACCCACATCACAATGTATATAATATAAAGGAGTCAACTTGACATGATAATAGGTGAAGAGAATCATCGAGGGAAACAAGAAGTTGAAATAGCGCGAAAAATGTCGAATTAGTTCTTAAATTGGATAGAAATTCTATTATGAAAGAGTTTTCTACAGATTGAGACGATTATTAGGTGCAAGGAACTAAGGAAAATAATTCCACAAAGGAAAGAGCGGTGATCTAGGCACAAGAATTAGAGGAAAAAGGAAAGGGAAGAAGAGGGGATCTCTATTTGGAAGGTTGGCTTTGAGGTTCAAACTTCAGGAGCAGTCCGAGTTTATATCTAACGTCTCCACTCTCCTCTCTCTAGCGCCAACGACTTTGATCTTTTTGCTGTTGGGTTGAGCGGGTCACCCGCACACTCACCCACAACCCACCCACCACCCGGCGGATGGCTCCCAGCGCAATCCGTCACCCACCCACAGACCCACCCACTTAACGAAATTCGGGTCAAATGCGGGTGGGTCGGCCCAAACCCGCGGATGATCCGCCCGCATGCCCAGCCCTAGGGACGACTCCAATCTTGGACCGAAGCAGCTGAAACCGGGAGATGGGAAGTGGTTTCGTGAGAGAGTCGGCAAGCTGGTGAGCGGCTGGAATGTGGCGAACAGCAAGGGCCTCAGATTGGACGAGCTCACGGAGAAAATGAAAGTCAAGTGCCAGGTGCTTCATGCGGCTGTGATAGACTGGATTGGCCGAGAAGTTGACAGCGCCCAAGTTGTCACAGTAGAGGACCGGTGGAGCGGATGTTGGGTGATGCAGTTCACGGAGGAGATTTTGTTTCCAGAGGACCTCGGCAGCGGCATGAGCTAAGGCACGGTACTCCGCCTCTGTACTGGATCGAGCAACAGATCGTTGCTTTTTAGAGCGCCAGGAGATTAGATTGTCGCCGTAATAGACAAGGTAAGCCATCGTGGAAGTGCGGTCATTGGGGTCCCCTGCCCAATCTGAATATGCAAAAGCAGTCAGCCGGGGCGACTGTGTGGGAGCAAGATGAAGCCCCATGGTAGACGTCCCTTTAAGGTAGCGAAAAAGACGCTTCACACACTGCCAG